GAAAACAACTCTAAAAAGTAGATATTATTTCAACTTCGGAGATGTAGAAACTACAGCTCAGGGAGCTTAAGTCCCTTAATGAAGCTGGCTCTAAGTGGCAGAGTCCTAAGGTAGAGTCATAGTTCTGAGGTCAGTCTGATTAAAAGCAAAACAAAACAAACAAAAACCACTTGGCACAACACTGAATCATCCACAATTTAAACAGTGCAAACTTTATAAACATCGTGTGTATCAGGAAATTTTGTGATTCTTTTTAGTCAATATTTTAGGTTTAAGTATTATATGGACTAGAATATTGGTTTGCAAATTCTCCAACCTTTGCATGTTGACTGAAACTATTCTCTTTAATTCCTATTTTCCTAATGAGTCTAGTTCATGCAAATGGCAAAGTGACCAGGCTTCTCTATTAGTGCTACTGAAGCACCTGGCTCTTGCTAGCACCTGGTGACAGCAACATTCAAGGGATCAGGCATTGTTTTCGGTTAGGCTTCTGAAACTAGGTAACAGTAAGCACAAAAATGGTCAAAACTATAATAAACAATACAGTAGTTGGCTCCTGTCGTAAGCAGTGCGGAATCCTAACACCTGAGACTGAAGGCCAGGGAGTTTCCCTTTAGTTGGGGTATGCATTGTGCTAATTCAGCAGTCTCTGGCTGGAGCTGGGGAAGAATATCCATAAATCTGGAGCCAGACAGGTAGTGAAAAAGGCCAAAAAGGGGAGGGCCAGCATCAGCGAAAGAAAGCTGAGCCATGAAACTAGAATACAGCAAAGACCCTAGAGAGAAAAACAAAGTCATCTGGTAGGGCACAATAGGATAACACTGCTATGTGTGCAAGCTGTCATGGACATACCACATCTCCTTCAGGTCCTCACATTGTCGGGGCAGACATGCACCTCTGAATACACTGTGTGCGCTCCTGGCTTGGTTCTCCCCATTTCAGTCAAATTATTTTGTGAGTAGAGTCACACCCTTTACACACATACTGATGAGATGAATACATGATATATACTGCAAAATTAAATAATTCATCCTTTTTAGGACCAGTGTCGTTAATTTTAATGTTTGTCTTTGACAGAACAAACATCCTTCATCTTCGTTATACTGAAAGGCAGTTCTCCCAACCTCTCTCAGAAACATGTATCCATTTATGTTTTCAATTTACTTTGTGCTATTTTTCAAAAAGTCAGGTCACGACCTAATTTCTGAAGCAATCTTAACAGTGCTTTTTTGTTCACCAGTGGCTTATATGATTAAGGAATCCATCAGGATTTTTTGTTGTTGTGTTTTCTCTAGCATCTCCTTTGCCGATATCTCATTCTCTGTGGTGTGCAGTTCAGCATCTTGAATAAAATTTCATGACTAGAAATGGGTGTTATGCTTTGGAAAATGGCAGCTTCATCTCAACAGCTATATAATTTCTTAGAATTTGTGCTTTCTTATTGTGAACTTCAATCATGTAAATATTAAAAAGTATTCAAATACTTGCAGTACAACATCTACCTGAGATGTAACAAGGTACCATGGTTTTCTTTCAGCCACAACAATGGTACCCAAACATTCATTCCTTTAAAAAACTCAAATGATTCATCAAAACACAAATGGGGCTGGAAAGTTGACAATTCAGTTATTATATTACTGAATAAACCACTTCGGTAAGAATATTATGGAAGTTGCTAAGATATGAGAAAAGAAGACTGAAAATATGATACAACCATAGGTCTCTCTACTTTTAGAATGCCAGTAAAGAGCAATTCAGTTCAAGGCATATAAAATAAAAATTTTTTTAAATCCTCAATTTGCTAGCTGACTATATGCCTTGCAGCAGGCTTAGGAAGGAAGATAGGCACTTAAAGGGGTAGTAAATGGACAGAGGAAATGAACTTCTCATTAAGTTAAATGGCATTCATTTAGTATGAATGCTAATGGTGCTAGGACATGTGGAATCAGGAATGACTATGATATCACTCCTTTTAGAGCTCATGTATTAAAGTAACACTGATGTGGAAAACATAAGAACAATTTTACAGTGGAACAGAAAACTGCCATGATATGTGGATTGAAATGAACTGTATATAAGACTATAGTCTACATCTTAATATTTTCCTCAATTTCAGATATTGTCTTAACCATATCATATAATAAAAACCCCAAACACTGAATACCATCTAAAAATTGAAATACATTAAATTTTCTGTAACTGAAAAAAGGGCTACAGCGCCATAAGTTGCCAGTGCCTAGGACTGACCTCCCTGAAAGTAATCTATTGGTTTGAAATAATTCTATTATACAAGAAAGAAACTGTAGACATAGGGGAAAAGATTGAGTGTCAAACTTACCTAACATTAAATGCAATTTTTAATATGTCTTTTAGAATGCATTACTCTAAGTGAAATACATTAGCTAAAATGGTCTCAAATGACTAAGACTCTTTACTAATAAAAAATGAATTAAGCAGATCTACACTTAGTATTAACAATATAAATTTAATTATTTATATTGGTATATTTATTTCAAAAATGTCTATTAAATTTGATTTTAATCCATTCATTTATTCATGAATTTTATTTTAATTATTTTAGTAGGTAGATTTTATAAAACTATATGTCATAATTTCAAAACTTTATTGCCAAAAGGCCAAGAAAATAATAGAACAGAAAGAAAAATAGTTTATGTAATTAATTTTAAAAAAGTGATATAGAGCTTCCAAGTGGTCAGAGTAAAAGAAAATGAGATATAATTGATGATATAACTTTTATTCTTAATAGGAAAAAAAAGTTCTATCAGTTTTTTAGGAGAAACAGTTTTCCTTTGGACTTTGGTATGAATTATAGTTCTTAAGTGGATCTTCTCAAATGATTATTGAGTAATGTATTGGTAAATACCATTACCTATATAAACATGGCGAATGCAATACCAACTTACATAGCATCTAGTGATTTGATTTCTATGTGTTTCGCCATAGTCCTAGCCCTCTTCCCTAGTGTGTCTCCCATCTTTAGAACAAAGTATCAAGTACTCTTCTACACACCCTCTCTCCTTTTCTAGCCCTTCCTGAATAACGGGGTCTTTATCCAATGGTTATATTGCAACACATGAAATACATGCTAACTTTTCAAATGATAAATGACATCAGAGAGTTGTGAAATCTCTTCCTGGCTACTAATTGTTGCTTTTACTATACAGTATTATTAAATTAATATAGCTTTTACATTATTAATAGCAGATTTCTAGAAAATCATAAATATATTCATGGTAGACAGGCATTAGGTAAACTGGGTAAGTAGCTAGGAAGGAAAGCTTGTTGTGAAGTGGGGGAGCAAAAACCAGCAGGAACACAGAAAGACAATCTGGAGTCCACATATCTCTCTTATCACCTTCAGCCTCAATAGTGCTGGTGACCTGTGGAATTAGCTAATGTTTTTTTACACAGTTTTCCATGTGATTCTGCATAAGAACTTGGAGAAGCTGAGGGAAAAGATTTTGGAGGCAGCTACAGTAGTTGTAGATTTGGGTTCTGTCCACGTCAATAAAGTGAACCAGCAGATCAATAAAAGTCTACATGAGCAGCCACAGTGCCTAGTGTCCTGCACTAGCCTTCAGAGCAAAAAATTCATTGTTTCTTCGCTTCTGCTTTCCAAATCCTGTAGATAAGGTAAATGGCCAATTCGAAATCAATGTTATACAGGTAAGAAAAGTCTGGGACATTTAGTTCCAGTTTAGCTAAATTAACACTGGGAAAACTATCATGTTCCATTCTTTAACCTGGCATCCAAAAACAGCTATGTTGTTTATTATTAATCTCTTCACTAACCCTCTTCCAAAATAAGATACAAAGTCCTTTTATCAGTCTTTGGGAGATGTTCTTTAATCTACATGAGCATATTTGCATTTATTTACTAAGATATAAGGTTAACTACTGTTAACATATCTTATGGGAAATAGAAAAGGGAAAGACAAATGATTAATATAGTCACAATTTGTTTATATCAAAATATAGAAGACATGAATAACTATTACAGTTCTCATTTCTATTACCGGTCACATGGTCATAGCTGGCATTTAAAACTATCTTCTTTCACTATCCATTTCATGTTCCCTTTGTTCTGAGCAAGGGCCTCAGATGTTAATGGTTTATTGTCTGGTGTGGTAACCCAAGACTTCATTTCAGAAAGGTGTGGACCTTTGACAGTCTAACATTTATTGTTAGACTTTTATTGTTAACATTTAATGTTAACATTTATTGTTTAAGTTAACATTTATTGTTAATATTTAATGTAGTTCTACATTAACTTTTACCATAAGACATGGAATTATGGAGATGTTCCTCAGTGTATCACCTGTAGGGGCAATTTAATTTCATTTCTGAAAGTCAAGATCCATCAATCTGACTGGCAAGGTAACTTCCTTCTTTGCTTATTGATTCATTGGCCTGAGAATCCCAAAGTGGCCTGGTGGCAGTACCAACTTTCAGTTTTAATGAAACCATGGTTATGGGATTCTTCCTTTGGGAAATAAGGTCTTTGGACTAGCAAACCCAAACTTTTGAGTTTGGGGTGAAAATACGTTGCTAGCTCATCACTAGGAATGAGAGGAGACACTCCATTTTATCCTTAATTTCCAGAAACATTAACAGTACATATTCCTAAATATTTATTTCTGAGAGGTATTGTTATTTATTTAGCTTTATGGATGTATTACTTATATGCAATAAAACATCTATTTTAAGTATATATTTTGATGTTTTTACAAATTTTATACACTGTGTGACAACTCCTACCATCAAAATATGGAACGCTTTTCATCACTTTTCCTTTCCTGAAAAGTTCTCTTGTGCCCCCTTGCTGCCCATTCCCCCAAACCCTTACCCCAGCCAACCACTGATCTATTTTATGGCAATATAGATTATCTTTGTATTTTCTGTAATTCATAAAAATGGATCATAGACCATTTACTCATTGGTATCTGACCCTTTACACTCAGGAAGATTTTTTTTTTTTTCAGACAAGTAAACCTTTTATTTTAAACCACAAATAGTCAGCAGGTGGCCACAACTATCCATGTTTCATTAAAATCACATAAAACCTAGGTACAAAAGCACCACTGATTATTGCTCTAGAAAAACTGCATGAAAAATTCAAATATGCACAGTAAAAACACCACAGTATGCACAGGACTAAATTTTAAAGCAAGTGCATGGAATGCTGAATCAATCTTACACACAGCTTTCCAATATTTAACTGATATTTATTTTACTTGAGGATGAGGTAAATTTCCAAAAAGCATGACTATGAGACGATAAAATGTCCATCCTTATATATTTTTGTATGCCAACTAGTAGAGTCCTAAAAAATTAGCATTTACAAAATACTTGGTAAAAATAGCTTTTAAAAGTTGTCCCAAGAGATACATAAAATCAACCCCAATTTTTCATGACAATTCATTCTCCCTCGTTATCTACAGATTCAGTTTTCTGTGCCTTCCTTTCCAGCTTCCTGCTTTTCCTCCTTCTTCCCTTTAGCACCTCTGCTAATCTTTGCTCCAAGTTCTTTCTTAGCAGATGTTTTTCTTGGTTTGGGTTCAGGTTTTGGTGGAGCAGGTTTCGCCGACAATCTGGCAGACCGTCTTGTGGGCTCCTGTTTAGTTACTTTGGATCCATCGTTGCCCTCTGTATTCTCTGGAGACTTTCTCTTCAGCATAATGACTATGTCGGTGAAACAAAAAGTAAAGCAACGGGCTGGAACTCAGGAAGATTTTTTAAAAAAGATTTATCCATGTTTTTATATGTATGTTAGAAGTTCATTCTTCTTTTGAGTAGAATTATACTGTATAAATGTATCATAATTTCTTTATTCATTCCTCAGTTTATCAGAATTTATGTAGTTTCCAGTTTTTACATATCTTCACTAACACTTGTTATTATCAGTCTTTTTAGTTTCATCTATTTTAACAGTTTGACAGTGATCATTCATTGTGATTTTAATTTTCATTTCCCTTATCCCTAATGACATTGAACATATTTTCCTGTGTTTATTGATCGTTTGAGTGTCGTCTTTTGTGATGTATATGGTCAAATATTTTACTCATTTTTAATTTGCTACTTATTATTGAGTTGAAAGAATATTTTGGATGCCAGCTTATTGTTATATATAGAGATTGTTATTTATTTTTTCATCATTTGCGCTACTTTTCAATTACTTAACCAGGGAATTCAAAAAGCAGAAGTTTTCAATTTTGATGAAATTCACTTGATCAAATTTATGATTCATGATTTTTTAGCTTTTATCTGAATAATCTGCCTATTGTAATCTCACAAAGATTTTCTTCTATATTTTATTCTAGAAGTATTAGAGTGTTAGTTTCACATTGAGCTTTATTTTAAGAAAATTTTTGTTTATGGTATAAGGTAACTATTAAAGTTCAGTTTTTTCCATAAAGATATTTAGTCTCTTCCAGCACAATTTATTGAACGCATTTTTCTTTTCTCAAATCTTCCAATATTAATATAACCAATCCAATATTCTTATTTTGACTGTACACTTATTTTCTTCCTTTTATTTTCAACTTATTGTATCCTTCTACTTAAAGTCTATTTCTTCTAGACAGAATATAGCTGGTCTTGCTTTTTTGAACTAGTCTAACAATATCTGCCTTTTGATTACAATATTTAGTCTAATAATTAAAATTTAAAAAGAACGTTTAACAACATACAAATATATAAAACAAAAAAAAAGTACAAAATGGTTGGGAATAAATTTAATAATCAGCTTTAAGAAAAAACTTTTTACTGACGAAAGTGTAGTAGACTTGCCAATTCCTAAGGCTGAACTCTAATTCGACAGGATAAAATGAAAGAAATGGTCAAATGGATAATATCACATTTTCTATAGAAATAAAGATTATTTACTTTTCATTTATTTATTCCACAAATACTATTTGACAGCCTAGTAAAAACTATCTTTGCATAATATTGAGAGTAAAGAAATGCTTCAGACCTGGTCCCTGACCTGAAGGAATGTACTGTTTATGGAAAGAAAGATACATAAGACATTTATAAAGTAAGTACTATATCAAGTTATGCTAAGTTATGCAGTGATAACACAGTAACCCCAAAATCTAAGTGGCTTTACATAACAAATTTTTAGTTTTTTGCTTATGCATTGCCTGCTTTCAGTGTGTGTCTCTAGAAGGCAGGTATTCTCCATGTGTTAGTTTCTTGTTCCAGCTGCTTTAATTTTGTAACAATCCCACATCAACAGGTAATTTCAGAATCCTCATGGCTAGGGAACAGAGAGCTGGGGAGTAGGGCATCAGAATTAAATACTCTAACAGGAGGTGACATTTGACACTTCTATACATATTTCATTGCCCAAGCAAGTTGTATAGCCATGCTTAATTTTGCCTCAGGACTATACAACCACCCTATGTGACTGTAAATAGAGGAGAATTTCATGTTAGTGAAAAGTGCTAGTTTCTGCTGTATGATGTATAATAGAGGTATGCTTAAAGAAGTATTACTCAGTAGTCAGTAACAGTGGACACTGCTTGTATTTTCTTACAGTTATGGATTGGAACTCTGCAAACCCCTAAAGTATTTTCAGAATCATTAAAGGAAGGTTAAATTATTTGCAGTCTAGGTTTGAGACTATTCTTGAATTTTAATACTAGACAATTGTCCATTCATGCATAGGATAGACTTATTTTTTCCAGTAACTTGAACCAGTGATGAACTAGAGTACACCATTCTCTGATATTTTGTAAACAAAATTAGAGAAACAGATAAACATTTGCTTCCAGCAACATCTGCACAGAAATGGTTATGTGTATTGAGCAATCATAGTGATTTATAATGAGAGCAAGATGGAAGTAGATTAAGTAGGGATGTATGTAAAAAGGCTATCTGAAGGGTATGTTTTGCAGGAGAGGCAAGAGGTGTTTTGGTGCATAGGAAGATGAAAGTGGGGGAAAGCATCTCAAGAAAAGGAATGAGATAGTTTAGAGAGAGATATCTGACCTTGATCACATTCATTGTTTGTGTGTGTTCGGAAAAGGCTATATAATGGAAAGTAGGAAGGGGAAGAAAGTTCCATTAATAGTCAACTTAAAGTTTTATCATAAAGGTTATTTTATGTGGCTTAGAGTGCAAATTCAAGTCCATTCAGGTTCTCAAAAGCAGGCTTGGAGATAGTTCCTGGATTTGTTTGTAAGGTACTTGTACAAGGAAAAGCTACCAAGTTGGATGGTGCTGGAGAGCAGACATCAATGACCAGGAGCTGCCAGAATGGAAAGTAAAACTAAAGACTACAGGGAACGATCAGTAGATTGGGTGTTCTTTAGTTTCTGTCTGACATACACTTTTTCACTATTCCAGTGATCACATTCATTGCAAAAATGTCAACTATCCTCTGTGCTTACATAATAATTCTTATGTGAAACAGAGAAAATGCACAATATAGTGTGCACTCTGGAGACTGCCTAACTTGGAATGCCAACTGGACCACTAGCTATCTGTGACATTCAGCAAATTGTTAAACTTTTCTGAGTTTCAGATTAGTTTCCTAATTTGAAAACAAAGATAATTGTGTCTTCTAAACTAACAGTGATATTGTACAGATTCAATGAGTTAATAGACATATTTATAATAGTACCTGTTATATGCTAAGTAATCAATACATGTTTGTTATTATTCTGTGTCTCTCAAGATCTCTTTTTTTCTAAGAGAAAAATTTGTATGTCTATCTGCTTTTCGGATCTCTCCATTTGGATACCCAAGAGAAACCCCAGGTTCCACAAGATAAACACATCCTCTCTCTACCCAGGCCCACTCTTGTGCTGTATTCCCCTTCTGTTCAACCTATTGAAAGTATCTCCAATATGTTCATCATTGTTTCTCCACATTGTTTGCCTACATATAGTGTATGACAAAATATATTAAATTCTGAACATTTCATATGAATAAAGACTCTATGAGGGCAATAAAGGAGTTGAATTGTGAGCATGACTCCAAGTCCTAAACTTAGATAGAAATGAAGTTGGAAATTGGAGGGAAAAGAATGTGGGCATGAAAAACAGGTCTCAATTGTTGATATTACTTAACAGCTGCTTTCCTTAGCAAATGCTTTAAATTGACGAAGCATAAAGCTTAGAAAATGCAGGTTTTTCTACAAGCAATTATTTATTGCTTTTGAACATTTCCACACCTCAACAATTTTGTCTTCCACTCCCTTTGAGAAACAAAACAATGTTTGACAAAGAAAGAAAGAAGATAAAACTCTCTTCCATCAAGGGATCACAGCATCTGCTTGACTTATATTACCTTAAAGATAAGAGGTTACAACCTCTGGAAAGATTCTTAAAGGACACAAGTTGACATAATTTTGTAGGAGAATAAAAGGGCATGCTTTCATGGATGGATGATAAAAGCATGGGGGAAGAAGAGCATATTTCAGGTGAAGAAAATGACAGATAAAAAGAGATTAGTGAAGGGTCAAAACAATATATGAAGGTATCAACATTTCTTGCACAGTCATTCAATAAAAATGTCAACAAGCAAAATGCTGGCTGGCAATAATACAACCAAAATGGGTAATTTAAGTGAAGGAAGTAGTCTAACTGAGCTCAACATGACTATTAACACTTCTTTACTGGTCTCAGTGGAATAAAATACTGAAAGACAAGAGCTTGAAGTGAATAAAATTGTATCCAATTTACAATCAAATGAAAAGATGATGGGCTTAGAGCCAAAAAATATTCCTCAATTAAGCTTCTTTTCAATGGCTTCAGTTTAACCAGCTGGATTTTTATTTAAATTTTTAAAAAAATCTATATTATTCAACCTTTTGAAAAGCAGGGTTTTCCTTTTAATGGGTAATTTGTTTCTTTTTATAAAATGAAAGTCAGCAAAAACTGGTGTTCTGCACACATGGAAGCATAATAAAACTGGCATAGAGAAATGGAAAGTGCCGTCCCTGCTCTCAGAGACATGACATTCTACGAAGAAATATGTGGCAAATGGGATATAAAGACAGGTCATGGGCAGGCAGCTCAGTGGACTTACCTTTCAATTCAAAGGTTTGCCAGTCAACTTAGGTGATAAGTGATAATTGTGGTTCTATGCTTAATATGGTACAATGATTTTGAGGATAACTCTTCAATAAAAGGGTAGCTTAAGGTCAAATTGTTCCAATTAAATAGTTCTCTTACCATATATCAATACATGCAGTGCAATTTCATGAAAATTTCATTTCTAAATGTATATGAATAAATTGAATGCTGCTATAGTAGGAAACATGTTTTATCTTCCACCCTAAAATTTCATAAATACAAATTTATGAAAATTTATATTTTCATAAATATAAATTTATTTATATATAATATAAATATACATGATGTCCCTGTTTAGTAACTTCAATATGAAGAGACAATTCAATAGGTTAAAGTACTGATTTTTTAAAATGTCAAATAATTAAAAATAATGTTCCATCTCCACACATGTAAATGAAGATGAAAAACTGTAAATCTGCAGATAGTCCAGTCTAATCAACAAACATTTATATGCCTTCCTTAGCAAGTTTGAATGCTCCAAATGCCATAAAGGGCAATCTCCATCCTCACTGACTCACTCATTGGACAACCACTGAGATATTTCTAGAAAAAGATAAAATATTATAAATATACGAATAATTAATATGAAACAGTAAACTGAAGCAAAGTAGAAGGGAAACACATTTAATTTAAGA